ACTTGCTTTATTTCCGAATGAATAAGCTGTCTGACTGAATCAAGTGAGTCAATGATTCAGTGACTCATTCATAAAGACAGTCACTTGCTCAGTTTCTAAATGATTTAGCCATTTGAATGAATCGAGTGAGTTAGAGAGTCAATGATTCATTAATAAAGACAGTCACTTCGAATGAATCAGCAATTTGAGCAAATTGGTTGAATGAATGATTCAAGGACTCACTCATTAAGACAGTAGGTGCATCCCAAATCGCGTACTTGCCCACTATTCTATGACGTTTTGTAGTATAAATAGTGTGAGTAGTGTGTTCACACTGAAAATTCCAAGAAAAAGTGCACTTTAAATACCCGGATTATGCACTTAAATGACCGAAAAAACGAAATGTGGACTGTTGAACACTTCATTCACTCAACTGTCGCAGCTTTAATTGCGTCGCGAAGGGGGAGGGGCTATCAGACTCCAATTATTACTGGCAAAATAACCTTTTAAAATTCATACACAACATAGCTGAATTCATAGTGCATAAATACATAGCGTATAGTGCATCATTTGGGATGCAGTTAATGACTCAACGCCACCTACTGGCCTTCTATGACTTTTTAAATGATCTTTTAGGGGGTAATTTCTCAGCCAAAATTGATGTGTGATTAATTTGTGATAAATTCAATGAATTAATCATGCAATGAATGCGATTAATCTGAAAGTGGTGTGAAGTATCACCTCGGAGGCGATGAGCTCCAGTCCTCGGCACTGTCTGTCCTTCTCCTTCTGCAGAAGCTCCCACATCTCGGGGTCGTCTTGAGACAGACTCTCCTGTCCCGTCCACGAGCGCTCGTCATCAGAGACCACCGCCGCTGAATGCTGGGATCTGACGCTGGCCGAAACACGGCACACCGGCTGAAACACACACACACAGACGTTTGTTTCTGTGAATTGTGGGGACTTTCCATAGACTTCTATTACTTTTATACTGACCAAACGATATTTTCTATCCCCTAACCCAACCCTTTACCCAACCCAACACTCACTCACTCACTCACTCTCACACAGTCACACTTTCAGATAAACAACATTTACTATTTTTAATAATTTTTTCCCTCGTGGGGACCAGAGGCCGGTCCCTACAATGTAAAACATTTCAGGTTTTACTATCCTTGTGGGGACACACACAGACACTCACTCACTCACTCTCACACACTCACACTCTCACACACACACACTCACTCACTCTCACACACACACACACTCACTCACTCTCACACAC